GTCCTTCCAGTGCAAGCCCCGCCCCCAAGCAGCTAGCCCCCGCCCCCAAAGGCCTCCGCCCGGGCAGGCCCCGCCCCTGGCCGCTCCAGCAATCTCGCCTCTGCGGGAGGAGGAGCGCTCTCACCGGTCTCGCTCAGCTCCACCACCTGCTGCTCGTAGGTCTGAGTTCCAAAGTCCCGGCTCAATTCGGGCATGCCCAGGTAGTCGTGGACTTGGTCCATGAGCTTCTTCAGCAGGTCCCCAAACGGATCCTGGACCAGAGGAGTGAGGGTGTGGGCGGATTGCCATTCACACTGGAGGATGGGCACTCACTGGGGGCGCTTACCCCCGCGTGTCGCACATCGCGACTCCATCACCCACCCGTCTTATCTGAGGGGTGACAGCCCCAGGGGGAGCTGTGGGGTGTGGGGAAGTCCTAGCCGGAGGCTGGAGCCAGATTCCTGTACCCAGCTGCTGCCCTGTCCCACCTACTGTGTGTCCCTGCCCCTCGGGCCCGGGCACGGTGACACCTAGTCCTTGTCCAGCCCTGCCATAGCAGTCAACAGGCTGTGTCCACACCGAAGGGGAGGACTTGGTACAGCCTTAGCACAGTCCCCGCTGTATGGTCTGCAGAGCACTCCACAGCATGCTGAGGGCTCAGACAGCCACCTGCAGTGACTTCAGAGTCAACCCAAATAGCAGGCTATGGGCAATGGGCCAGATCTGCCCCATTTCACAGAAAGGAAAAATGGAGGCTCGGAGACATAAGCAAGTGACCTGATGTCACAGCACTTGTGAGGGTGGCCAAGGCCCAAGCCTAGGTGCCCTAGCTTCACACCAGCCCCCTGCCACTGGTGCCCCTAATCCACGCACCTGGCTGCGTCTCTGGCAGAGGTCATACTGTTTGTTAGGTTGCTGGTTGTGCTCTGGCAGCTGGGGGTGGTGGTTCTGGGGTGACATGATGCACCAGGTATCCAAATTGGCACAGAGCTGGAGTAACAGAGAGGGCCTCACTGCAAATGGGGGTCTGGAGGGGGGCAATGGGCAGACCTTTGGGCAGGGTGGGTTCCGGCTGAGGACAGGAGAGCCTGAGGTGGGGCTGCTAGGGGGGGGAGTCATGTACTCAACAAACATGCACTGATCGGCTTCTCTGTCTCTCTGTGCCAGTGCTGTTCTAGGCCCTGGGGAGACATCATCAACCAGGGACACGTAACAGAATGTGAG